CCACAGCCCCTGGTCAGGGCTCGTCGGGGCCATTTTGGCGAGGTTCTCGCCTGCTGCTCTTGCACCTCCAAGGCGCTACTTGGGCCCTGGCTCTCTCGGGCTCTCTTGCCCGTTGCAAGTTTGTAGCCGAGCTGAGCTCTGCTTTTCCCTTGGCTCCATTTCCCCAGGGGTTCTTGCTTCTGCAAAACAGCCTGTGCTTGGAAGGGCTCCAGCTGCACCATCAGGAGCTGCCACTTTTCAGTTCTCCCTGCATGCAATACAAGCACAGAACACGAGAGCGCTTTTCATGCATCACTGGCCAACAAGCACAGCAGAGCAAGTTTTGGAAGGCAAAAAGTATGCTTGTCATCAGTATGTGTCATACTTTTGGAAGATACCCCACGGTACCACACACCTCTTCTTCTTTTGTGTGTGGTTGGTCCTGATCCTCATTCTTCAAGTTCTCACTCTTGAGGAAACAGGGACTGCTTGGCCTGTATTCCTTCTGCTGCTTTCTGTAGCTCTGTGACTTGCCTTTGCTAGACTGCAAGGGATGTTTTTTCAAGCTAAACAGAAGAATGCATCAGCCTGCTCTTGGCTACACATGCATATTTTTTTAATGCTTGTGAGCATCAGCTCTGAAACAGATTCAGAAAAATAAAATAAAATCCTGCTTCTGCTTGTAATCTTTGTGATAATGTGTCCTTGAAAGTGTTTTTGGAGCTGAAAAACCCCTGACATTTCAGGCAAATAACAGTCTCATCATTATTCAACTCATTGTGAGCACAGGCAATAGAATAGAACAGTTATGCTATGTTATGCCTACAGTTCTGCATGACAAGCTGTGACCCGGGTCTGAGGGCTCCATCCAGGAGAACAGCTCTCTGCTATGCAGGTCCCAGGCCCATCCGGAGAGGGGCAGAGATGGCACACCTACAACATCGCTCAGGCAGGGACTGAAGGCCCCAGGCTGAGCTAAGACACCTCGTCTCCTGGGCCCTTGGCAGGAGACGGCATGGGTGGGGGTCCCAGGGGAGGCCAGTCCCAGCCATTGAGGCCTATGAGCACCCCCAGGACCCTGGCAGAAGTAGACCTGCACTGCTCGTATGCCCTGCTTTAGACATGGATGGTTGGCCACTTTGGAGACCGAGTATTGGGCTAGATGGACCTTCGCTCTGATGGAGTACTGTTGTTCTCTGGCTCTTTTGTTTTATTACGTTCTTCCAAGGGAAGGAGTTCAGGCATTTCTAAATCAAAAAGATTTGCAGCCATTTAGTGCCAGAGCACTTCCTGCTTCAGACTTCAGGGCTTGGTCTTTGAGCCTTGCTAGTGTCACAGGTGTGGGGTTTTTTTCCATCATGTGGAAACCCAGCTAAACTGGATTAACATAGAAGACTTTCAAAAACTGCAGTTCACACATGCTTTTTGCATATTTCTTCAGATGGTCAAATTATCTTGAGACAGCCCACAGCTCTCACCCCTATCGGAAGATACATGCCTCCTTCCCAGAGAGTGACAGAGCCAGTGCCTAGGATGGGACATGATTACTCATTCAGTCCCTTCTGCTAGTGCAGGGCTGGGAAGAAGTGTCATCCGAGATTAGCATGTACTTCATGGGAAAGGAGGACATAGGAAGAAGAACAGAATAGAATAGAATAGTTCAGCTGGAAGGGACCTACAATGATCATCTAGTCCAACTGCCTGACCACTTCAGGGCTGACCAAAAGATAAAGCATGGTATTAAGATCATTGTCCAAATGCCTCTTCAACACCAACCGGCATGGGGCATCGACCACCTCTCCAGGAAGCCAGTTCCAGGGTTTGAGCACCGTCTCGGTAAAGAAATGTTCCCTCATGTCAAGTCTGAACCTCCCCTGAGGGACGCACCTTTGAGCCATTCCCACGTATCCTGGCACTGGATCCCAGGGAGAAGAGATCAGCACCTCCCTCTCCACTTCTCCTCCTCAGGAAGCTGTAGAGAGCAACGAGGTTGCCCCTCAGCTTCCTCCTCTCCAAGCTAGACAAACCCATTGTCCTCAGCTGCTCCTCATAGGACATGCCTTCCAGCCTCTTCACCAGCTTTGTTGCCCTCCTCTGGACACACTGAAGGATCTTAACATCCTTTTGAAATTATGGGGCCCAACTGACAGGATTGCATTCCTGTACCATCTTCCCCCACAGTACGGGAAGGCAATTATTACAGCTATAGCGAATTTTTTCAGGATGTGCTATGTCAGCATTCATTTGCCTTGTGCGGCCCTTTGCAGAGAGGAAAGCATGGTCTTAAAATGTACTGGTTACCGGTTTGTTTATAAGTGTAACTCAAAGCATAGGTTTTAGCTCATAAATCACGTGTCGTTTGAAATCCTTGCTACTTAAAGACTGTCGTTTTCCTAAAAGCCCTCTGCACAGGGGGCACTCCTGGCAAGGGAATTCGTCTCTAGCCTTGCTCTGCCTGCTGATCCACCAGATCCACGTTTGGACACATGGAAGGGCCTGTCTCATCACAATGAGCTTGCATCAAAATGTTGAGATTCTTTAACTGAATAGACATGTCTGGCAGCTTTCTGCACTCATTGCACCAGTTTTGCAAACTAATTACCATGTGTGTGTTAGAAGACTGTTTCTCATAGTTTCTTTTATTAATTAAAAAAAAGAAGCTCCTTTGTATCTGAATAACATCATCAGTAATCTCATCACACTGACCTTTCACCCACATCACACTGACCTTTCACCACCACACCCCTTTCACCTCTGGTATCACCACAACCAAATGAATGTATATGGTATAAATGTCCTTATTTACATAGTCTGAATGTACATACCAATTTTGGCACCAAAGTACAAAATGGCAAGAATAGTACCTTCCTTACTCTTTCAGTACTCAAAATACTAAATCCTAAAGGAAAAAGAGATTTGCCAGGGTTTTGAGTAAGATCTGAACATCTTCCCACAAAGTGAAGTAGTCAAATAGGATGGAGGGCTATAGGCTGTTCAGGAGGGGTAGGCAGGGCAGGAGAGGCAGAGGAGTTGCACTGTATGGAAGGGAGAGGTTTGACTGTATAGCCCTTACAGTTAGGGTTGATGTGGTTGAGAGCTGCTGGGTGAGAATTAGGGATGGAAGACAAAGCAGATAGCCTGATGGGATCTTAAGGATCAGGTTTACTGGACCAATCATGAAATTCATTTGACTGAGAATGTACCTGTATGATTTGTTTAATCTCTGTGGCATGCACAATGAACAATATGGTGAACCGTATTCTTCCTGACTCTGTATAGTTCAACTCATAAAAGCTCTTGATAAAACTCTACATTATCATCATTAGTCTTTACTGCAGCAGTCTTGAAATCTCCCATATATGTGATATTGTTCCTTCTGTCTAGGCAGGCAATGTGGTGACAGGAGAGATGGTAGAAGAACTTATTCTTTCTGGAGCAGATATTATTAAAGTGGGTATCGGACCAGGTAAGTCAAATCCAGTCAAATAAGGGTGACTTATGGTAATGTGGGTGGGGGAGTTGTCCAGATGGAACCAATGTACAATGCTGTTTGCTTGCCCATTAGAATGCCTAGACCCACTCGGGTCAATAAAGTAACAGTGCCCTTGCACATAGTGTATTTAAGAAACACATGGGCAGGGTGCTAGTGTATTGTACGGCAAAGTGTTACATATTGCATCTTCTGGCAGTGAAGATGACTATTATTGGAAGCAATAATGACTGTTATTGGAGCGGCCTGAGTTGCTGACATTATCATTGATAATATGTGTTGTGTTTAGGAACACTTTTTCTAGCCTGTTGAAAAGAGGCTGAGTCATCCCAGCTCAAAGGATACTGTGTTTAGAAATCCACTTCTATCAAGGAAAGATAGGTTTCTAAATAGCTTTATGATTTGTGTTCTGAGGTTGCCCATCTTGTCAATGTCTTCAAAGATGAAATGGCATTAATTAAGTGTGAAGTATGGGTAACATTGCCTCTACCTGTTACTATTGCCCGGGAGTTATAATGCTTACATTAATGCACTTATATGTTACCTATCACTGTAACATTCCCATGGATAAATGGGAGGACCCTAAACTTCTTACAGTGTTTTTCCTACCTTCCCTTTCCTAATATTGTTGTCTGGCATATACTGCCATATTGTCTTCCCTCTTTTCTTTCCCTCGCTTGTGCATTTGTTCATGTGCTCCTTCCTGTTGCTATTTGCTTCACAGACTGCAGCTGTGGGGTCACCATGCATGGGCTAGATTTTAAACTGTCTAACGCAGGTGCCACTGACAGTATAGCTGTGATCAGCCAGGGCAGTGCAGGCAGACTCTACAGTGCCAAACAGTTATGGTTCATGAATGGATAATTTGAGCAGAGCAAATGATGTAGTAAAGGTTGCAGTTGTGCCCAGGAAGACAGCAAACAACAATGAATACTGCAAAATGCATGAAGAATAAACAACAGCGAAGTCGTGGTGCAATTGTCACAGGCAAGTTCAGATATAAAAGAAGAAATATTATAGCCTGTAGCTTCAAAGTGGAAATAGGTAGGAGTAAATGCTCTGCAGATCTTCCTGAACAGATCTGTACAAGTTGACCACCCAAAACCACAAGTAACAAATGTTCTTCACAGAAGATCAGATCCTGGGGCTTTTTTCCAGACAACGGTCCATCCTGTGGAAAATGGCAGTAATTTTAAAGCATTACATATATAAATACATACCTACCCTGTGGAGGTTATTTTAAAAACTAATTTTCTTTCTACTTCGCAGAAATACTTCTCAGTGTTTTCACCTTGTCAGTTCTTTGAAAGATCTTTGGAAACTTTTACTTTACTGGTAACTTGAGTATACCTGGATATCAGCTGGGTGAAGGGCTCCAGATTTCACAGCATTTGGTTTAGAATCTGTTTTGAAATTCTTGTTATCATGCAGACCTTTATGGTCTGTATGCTAAATTATAAGACCTGGACTGGCAAAAAAGCAGTCCTCATTTTGACTCTTAATTTAAGGAGAAAAATAGAGAAGGTATTCCAAAAGATCTATAGCCACGTTACCATGTTGAACTATAATTGAAGTGTGTCTTTTTTATATATATATATATACCTTTATTTTTATATATACGTGCACCATGTATGTGTATAAATAATGTAGTTTAATAATCAGATATAATTAGTATATTTCCTGTAATATTGCACTATACAGCTTTCTGATGCTTACTTATCTCACTTTTTAAATGCTGTGTGCTGATTTTCTTATATTCCCAACTATTGCGATCAACCAAATATTTCTGCTTTAAGTATTAGGCAAAAATGGGTTTGTCTCCCTTGCGGAAAATCTGCACAAAAAAGAAAATAAAAGCATAGATTTTCCCTGAGAATTATTTTAAAAAACATATGTAGAAAAGAGATACAGAAATATTTATTGGAAGAAATACTCAGGTATTAAATGCTGCTGCTGGGTCTCACGGGTTGTGACTCTGGTCCTTTCGTCCCCCTTCCCTTCAGGAACCTCAGTCAGATTTGCGTTCTCATGATGCAGTAATTCCCTCACCGGGAAGCATTACTGATGAGACCTAAACTGGGAATTGTGGCCCTGGAGAAGAAAGGGGGGATATTAGTCACCTCAATTACAGGTCCCATGAAGTGGTGCGATAGCATTTCAAAACTCAAGTTCCTATGTGTTCCTTTCATCCATGAGAGGCCAACATTGGCCACAGAGACTTTTGAGGGAAAAAATAATACAGGTAGAAACACATCTTTTCCACAAGAAAAAGAAAACAAGCTGTATCTTTTCTGTCAGCCTAATGGGCTATGTTTTTTTCCTCTCATTCTCTTGTCTAGGTTCTGTGTGTACCACTCGGATTAAGACGGGGGTGGGCTATCCACAGCTAAGTGCTGTTATTGAGTGTGCAGACTCAGCACATGGCTTGAAAGGACATATCATCTCTGTAAGTAAATAGCATCTACTCTCAGATTCCCACTGTGCGAATCGTTGTGGAATAAGAGAATCAAACCATCCAGTACCCTGCATGTTAAAGGCTATCCTTCTGTCATCTCCAGTTGACCCCTGTCTCCTAGGATAGTCAGTGGAGATTTAAATTTAAAGAAACCAACTCCCTCTAATGTTTAAAAAGACTTGGGAACCTCACTCCTGTTTGTGCCTTTGGAAAGGTGTTTCTTGCTCCCTGAATGGAGTAAGCTGTTACGTGAGCAGAATAGAAAGCTTGATAGTGTTTTCACATTGAAGCAAACAGTAATTCCCACGAAAGATTTCTGAAAAATGAGTGAAATGTAAACATGGCTTTCCCCAGAGAGTGGGACTGAGGGACAGGCAGGCAGTAGAGAGGAGTAGAGGGGAGGTAAAACGATATGAACCCATCTGTGCCCTAGAGGCTGGATTGATTCAGATAGCATCCCCACAGAGCTCTCTGTGCAGGGGCAGGAGTGTTTCAGAGGTGGCTCTGTTGAGCACAGCTGGCATGTGAGCCACTTACGTTCTCACAAAGCTCTGGGGAAATAATGAGCCTGTGGAGAAGAACAAGCGTGTATCTATACTGCCTGCTAATGGCAGCTTCCAGTCTACCAGCAAGACCAGATGCACCTCACATAGAAAAAGTAAATCTGTAAGCATGGCCTCAGACTGAGGTAGACTGCAGCCTGCAGCACCCAAAGGCCCTGTGTGCTTAGGCACGCCCAGCCAGTCAGCGTGCCCCTGACAGTGTGAGGCTTGCACAGTCTCTGCCTCTGTGTGAGGCAGCTGGTCATCAGGAAGGCATAGGGGCCAACCAGCGTGCTGTGCTCACAGGTACCCTCACAGCCAACAGTCTCCCTCTGCGGCCTTAGAAGAGACCACACACTGAATTTTAAATCTACTGCCAAGTGAAATCACTGGAAGGCCCTGATTTGTTCGACCCAGTTGTGACTAGTATCCATGTGAGGAAGGGGGTGTGTTGTGTTGTTGAGGAAGAAGGGGAGAGGAGAACAAACTGACTGTGGATACGCAAAGGGCTTGTCTGTATTTCTTGGAGCTGTGGGTATAATGGAGCAGGAAAACAAGTGTGTTACAGTCGGATCTGTCTTGCTCTTTATTGTTAATGCATATGCATTCTCTCCTCTCCATGGCTCCCCTATATGAATTTTGCAGAAAAAAAGAAAAGCAGCTGTGATTTTATGACTTGGGCAGTATTACAAATGTTTACGTCTATAGCAGACAGCAGAACATGTGTGCAATAGAGCATGAAAGACTGACTCATTACTATTAAGGCTGATCACCATAGGTGTCATCCTAGTGGTGGTACTCAGAGACCCATCCTAGTTTTGCAATAATCATTTTCTGCTAGCAACCCTTAGAAGAATGTTATTATCCTGATTTTACAAGAAAACAGGGAGTGTGTATTTAGACTGTTGAAAAATGAGATGGTTCTGTACTATTCCTCTTCCCCTTTCCTGCTTTGGGGATGGATCAATTCCTGACCTCCTTAGGTCATGTTGGCTTCAGTGAGCCCACACCTATCAACCCCCTGGCCATTACAGGGGGAGTATAGGAGGGCAATGTAATACCTGTCTGCTACAACATCTGGGACAAGAAAATTACCTTCAGCTGTAACTGGGGTCTCTAACACCACTGCAACTCAACTCTCTCACCCAAGCTAAGGAGACTAAAGCAAGGGTGAAGATACTATGCCTGAATTCTGCAGCATTCAGATAGGTATTGGTGTGTTTATTGGGGAAAGAAAAGGCTGGACTGCATGGTCATTGCCAGAACTCTGGCAAGAGTATCACAAAAGAGAGGTATCCTGAGAGAAAAACACTGTATGGGAGCAAGCCATTGGGTCTAGTGGTAACAAGTATACAAGGCATCCCTCAAAATATCTCACTACTATCATTATCAGGAAGGGGCATACGCTACCTGAGCCAAAGGAGACCTCTACAGGCAGAGTATTACCACAGCTATTGACGTCAATTTGGTAGGAGAAAATACGTCCAGCAGTTTTTTGTTATATTGATATGGAAGTAGCAGGAAGGATGTGAAAAGATTCAAATGTTTGTATTACTGAAGTGATCATGTATGATTTTTGGAGCTGATACGTTGTCTAAGAAGGTGACAATTCTTAGGCAAACATGATAGTCCAAGTGAATGCCTGGTGTCTCTCTAGAGTCACTTACACAGAGAAGGGGGAGGTGAAATTGCACCAGTTACTTTCCTCATGCTAAATTATCTTTAAGACTCAAAGCTCACCTCAGAAATTAATCTTTCATGACTCACTGAAAGAAGAGAGGAAACCCTGTCTAAGATACAGGCACTGTTTCTGTCCCCTGCTATTTGTCTGGGAGCCAATAGTCTCAATTTTCATTCTCACTAATCTATGGCCTTGAGAGAGTGCAGCAGTGAGTTACAGTGGAGGGGCCATTTAGTAGGAGAGCTCCTTCAGAAACGCCCTACTTGAGGTGAGGTTTCTGTTTCTTGTAGGTCAGAGAACTACTCTGCTGGATAGAGAGGCAGTCACGTATTCTAGTAAGCCAGCAATGTGGGGAATGGAAAGCAGCCTTGCATGTGTCGTCTCTCATTTGGCTATCATGTGATAGAGATCCCTATTTCCCCTTCACCCTGTTGGGGTGATGGGCCACTAGCATTCAGCGAAAAGGATGACTAAGGGGTTCTTCACCCAGCTACTGCCATACCATCTCTTCCTCCACACAGAACACTTTCCACACAGAAATATGCCCAGCATATGTAGTTCAGAATAAAGCACCATATGTATTGTTTCTGCTGCTGTATATGCCACATACTTTATATATCTTCTGCATAATAAATAGCTATCTGTCTGCTGATACTGTAGGAAGGGCTGGTTATACAGTTTATTGTAAAGGTTGCTTGAAACATATAAATCCTAGTTATAAATTTATTATAAGTTGCATATAATATTAAATATTCAACCAGTTCATACTGGTTTTCCATACGGTATTTCTTTTCCTCAGGCTAAATTTTGTTGTTGTAAAATGGTTTATCTGTTCGGAGAACAAGACTGGGGAAAATAACGTTATTTTAGCCATGTTAAAATAATTCAGTTGACTGGAAAGCTGTTTCCCCTCTCCTTCAGCTTAGCACCCAGTTGTCTCAGAATCATGCCCTCTACAGGCCTCATGGCCATGCTTTCCAGTAGGCTTACTTCAGAATAATGCCAGTTTTCCTGAATTCACAGGGGGATTTGTACAGATACATTTCCCCCGGGCCCTGAGGTAGAGGCTGAGCCTGCAACAAGCTCTGTGACTGAAGCCCAGCAGTTCTACAGGTCATTTTGAGTCCAGAGCCAGGCCCCTGTTGGGACGAGCTGAACTGCAAGGGGAAGCTTCCCAGACAATGCAGCAGGAGCACAGTCTTATGTTCTAAACAGAGCGCTTGATTTTTCACATGGAATGGAGTCGTTTAATGCATATAGCTTTTCTATATAGCATCTTCTGGCATAACTGCTTAGTATGTCCCCTTTTAGTTTCCCCTTTCTGTGAATCATTAAATTTACCTACTTATGTGAAGTAAGTGGAGACATATACAGAAAAAGAGGTGCTATGAATCATCATCATCGGTTCCTTTAATCTTAAATGGTAACTCATGAGCTTTTGAGAAAGTCTCTTAATCTGCTCAGCATTTTGTAATTTGGTGACATTCAAAGGGACATTTTTTGAAGCCGATGATTAATGATTACATGCTAAGGCCCCCATCCCCATGGTACTTCCGAAAGCATAAAGCCTCCATCACTGCCACTACTGGGTTAATTATAAAAGTCAGACACTGAGCCACCCAACAAGAACAGACTGAAACCCATCTACCAGAGAGCATTTATAGCCAGCCTGTCTCAGTCAGACAAATTCCTGACACTACTCTTTGAAGGTTATTAGACCCCTCTTTCCACCTCGGCTCGTCCTCCCCTGACACATGCACACACACTCACACCCTCCTCCAGGCTCTGACAGACTTGTCAGAGGGAAAGAATTGCACAAGCAGAGCCCTTAACAGGAGAGAGAGATTCAGCTGTCAGCCCAGCACTCCTTTCTGGAGCTGACAGCAAGAGTGTCTAGCTCAACAAAAGGCATAATGTGCTGGAGGTTATCAGCAAATGGAATAAAAGCCTTTAAAGTTCTACCAGGCAGTGTTTGCAGTGGGATGCCCTTTGAAAAGCCACTCGCTTTCGGATCCACCTGCTCAGTTTGTGTCTGAATCCTTTTCTGTGCACAGAGAGGTTCTAACACTCAGCCCCACTGCCAGCTACCCATGAAAGCCAGCTCTAAAATGGCTGATGGTGGGGGTGTCTGGCTGTGCTCAGCCGCAGGTCGTACACAGGCATTCATTTCTGCCCATAGGGAGGTGAAACAAAATGAAGTAACCAAACAGTCTGGGGAGTAGCTTCAAAAGCAGGAAAGCTGTCGGCAGTCTGCAGCGGACCCTGATCATGAAAGGAATGGGGAGCCCTCTTGGTACAATGACTGTGTAGAGTAGAAGGATCTTTCATCTGATGCTCAGACCTTTACAAAACCTAAAGAACCATAGCACATAATGAACTCTGCTATGTGCCATTCCTTTTTTACAGCCCTTATCGCACATACATAACTTCCCTCCCCTCAACCGAAACCCCCTCATCAGCCACTTCTTTGCTTTGCACTGAAACTGAAACACATAGGCGTAAAATGCTAAAGATCTCAAAGTGCTGTTGTTTCTTTACCAAACCCATAGCAAACAGTAAGGAGTATGATGAGAGATTCATTTTCACTTACCAAAGATTAGAGATTATCAGATCAAAATCCAACAGAGCTGATGGTGTATTTCCTCACCCCTCCCACTGTGACCTTTTAATGTATTGTAAACTGCTGAGAAAGTTATTTTAAATGTCTTTGGTGGTTTAAGGTGGGGTTTGTGGTACCTCTGCATCACACAGCCTTTCATTAAAATGGCAGGGAACGATTCAGATCATCAGAGGAGGTTTTGTTTTCCAGTTTCTGGGATTTAGGAAATTGCAGTCAGGAATTTGCATTGATGCTGTTACCAGTGGTATTGTCAGTAGACTTTATGGTAGAGTAAATGAGCCTAAAGAAGGAAAGCAATAGAAAGGATAATATGGATTCCCTAAAAACTCAGCCAAGATGGTGTATGCCAATGGTGCGCAGTCAACTCTTGGCACGCTGTTCCTGAGCAGGGGCCATTCTGCTGCAGGTTGCAGAGCGCCAGTGCTCACTGGGTCCCTGAGCGAGCTCACTGCCACTCACTGTCGTCTTTTCTTCGTGCAGGACGGAGGATGCAGCTGCCCAGGAGATGTCGCCAAAGCGTTTGGTAAGGACAGCGTGTAGTGCCACCCGTTACACCCCGCGTATCTCTAGCACCGTCAGCAGTGATGCAGGAGTCAATTTGACCCTGAATGTGTAATCAGCAATAGGTTACATTCGTCCCTGTGGGTGACTCCAGTGAATTTAATACACCAGACATGAATTTGCTCTTTGGACCAGGCAGTCCAAATTCTGCAGCACAAAACATACAGTGGTCGAAGTCCTATTTAGAAACTATCTGCCAGGTGTGCATGGGATACAGCCACTGGGACAGTAATACAAAGAAAACTGATAAGGGTTTCTTCTGAGTAGGGTTCAAAGATGCCTGTAACATTGCCAGATCTGGCTGATCTGGGCCTTGAATGGACGAAGAGATGGTGGAATGTGTGTTGGACAGAAGAACAAAACAAAAAGGCAGGCCAGATCCCTGGAGATGTTCTTGGGATCAGCTGTCCACTTGAAGAGATGAGATGTTATTTATACTGTATCCCCTAGAGCTGAGCAGATGTCTAAAACATCTAAGTTAATAATTAACAGATTTTGCTCTCATGCCAATAGCTTCAGTGAATTGCACCACCTCTTGCTGATAGAATAGAGAATTTAATCTGTGAGTATTTTCTGTTGGGCATGAAAGTTACATCGGTGGGGGGGGTCAAGGTCAGGATTGTCACTTAGCTATAACCTTGTTGCAGCAGCATATGTGAACCAGGCGCTAAACGCATCCTGGGCTGACAGGACCTTTAAAGATGCTCCCCCACCCCCCAAAATGCCTTTAGAGACATCACAGTGGGGTAATACCTGGAATACAGTGGGACAGCACAGTCTCCCATTGGGATTTCGGGGTGGTACGATACAAGAAATAGCACATTATGAAAAAGCATGTCTGCTTGGCAGGAAGCTTTGCAAGTGTGGAAAGCAGGGGCAGGCCTAAACTCAGATTACAGATCTGCCAAGAAAAACTCTGGGCCTCTGGAAAGGTTGAAACCAAAATCTGTCTTCTAAGTTTACAGACAGCTCCTTTTTTAGACAGGTCAGATGACAAGGAAGACTTAATTAGAGAATTTTAAGCACAGCCGTGGAGTGATTGCTACCAGCAAGGAATCTGCTCAGTCACAGGATTTCACATCACCCTTGTGTTACCCGGTGGGTGATGTGAAGTAGGGAATAGATACTTCCAGTTGGGTGATTCTGACATAGCTGAACAGTGGCATCCACCCTCTTTGACAACAAGATGATCGTTTTAAAAAAGCACCCAACCTCTCCTCAGCCCAGCCCAGTCTGACATCACACTGCCTGCAGTGAGGCCTTTGTTCTGCCTGACTTTCTCTGGCTCCGCAGCTTGCCCGGTTCTTGCTGGCGTTGTTATCATTGGGAGCTTGAGGTTGCAACCTCACTGCATTCCCAGCTGCCTGCACAGAAACCTGGTGCATGGAAAAGGTCTGTCTTCAACAAGAGCATTTCCAGAAGTTAGCACAACAGGAAGCAACTTCAAAGTGTTTAAAATGTTTTCCTTTGTGATGTTTATAGCAAGTCTGAAGGGTCCTTGTAGTCTCTTTGGGCTAACTGAACAGAAGCTTGCTTGAAACCTGTGAGAGGGCAGATTCTGGCCTTGCTGATTGTCAGGAGGTGCTGGGTTTTACAGTGGTAGTGTTTGAAGGCTACCACAGGTTGTCCCTGGGATAGAGGAGCATCAGAAAGCTGAGATTATACAGGCAGTAGTTCTACTCTGACAGTAGCCCAAACAGATCAGTCTGACCTGTGTGTCACAGGTACAGGGCTGGAACTGATAGAGATTACCCTGAGGCAATAAATTTACCATATCTGGTTATGTATAATTGAAGACCCCACACTGTGGACATCTGACTAGCTGGAGCCAGGTGTGCATTTGTCAAACGTGGGTGGCAAAATAAGCTTCTAGGTAACGTTATTACTATCAGTGTTTGTTGAATGCTATTGAGGTGATTGGCTGTGTGAGCCCTGTAGAAGACAGTCTCCATGCTGAGCATTTACAAGCCAAAGCCTTGATACTGATACTGAATTGTCTAGCACAGACTCTGTGCTTGCTGAGAGCCTCTTGGGGGGGAGGAGTTACGTGAATATATCGGATAGCAGAGACACACAGATGTAGAATTTCACCTGGGGATGCAGGCCTGGACAAAGCATGGACAAGAGGCCCAAAGAGGACTTTTGATTAAAGTGATTGTACTATCTCTTTTTGGTGGATCATTGTAAAGTCTTCATGAAAGGGATGTTGAGGTGTTCATTATAAAGCAGTGACAAAGCAGCCATTTGAATCATAAAAGTGTGAGGGAGTCCCAGATGTGGAGACTAGCATTGACAAATGGCTGAAGATGTGACTGGAGGGGGCAAGTTCATGGGAACAGGGGTAGAGTGGATTAAGTGCAAGTGAAGAATTGTGAAGAACCATGAAGAAGATGCTGAGAAGCTTTACAAGTGGAAGGTGACACCATTGACTGGTGTCAGGAGTCAGAGGCAGATTGGGCATTTTGACAGAGGGGAAACAAGGTAGAAGCCTGTTTGAAAAGGCAAGGAACAGAGAAGCACTGAAGGTGGGGGACAAAAATGCCGTGAGTGACAGATACTTTGGGAGAGACTGCTGGAATTCTGGCACTGCTGGATGGGAACCTGGTAGGGATTTGGTAAACTGAAGATGTTGCTGCCATCTGGGTATTGGAGATGATAATGGAAAAGATGTAGGTTGATCAGGAAGAAAAGAGGTGTTTTGATGCAGGAATGAAAGAAAGCATGAAAGAACTTTGTGTTGGGCGCTCAGAGGGTTCACATAACTGCACCCTTGGAAAGGCTGATAACATGAACACATTTCTCAGAATGCCCCAGGGAGGCACTACTGTCTCCTTTTTTAAAGATGAGAAGTCAAAGCACAGAAATACTGAGTTCAATTGCCTGAGGTCACATATACTTTTGTGACACAGCCAGGAACAGAATGTGCCTTTTGAATCCTATGCCAGCATCTTTAACACAATACTGCTGTTCCTTACAGCAGTGGTGAGAAGAGATACAGGAGCAGGGAAGGAAAAGGAAGGAAAAATCATGTGGAAAAGTCAACCGGGGACATATACTGGTTCCAAAATATACCTGGCAGATCATACTGGGGTTTTTTTCCATTTTCAATAGCTGTGTGTGTATACCTACTGTTGCAAAGGCTCACTGGCTCAGCTGGAGCACAGGTGAATGTTGATTCCAGGGCCAGCTGTGGTCCAGGCAAACTTATGCTGCATCTGCTTGGAGGGCTGCCCAGGCTACAAATCCAGGCTGACTCCAGCTGAATTTGTGCGGAGCCAATCTGGTTATCAGTAACTTGTATTATCAGGCATACAAAAGACATCTGAGGGACTCCATCCAGATCCAGCAGAACTGTGTGAGTGCTGCAAGATTGGGCTGGCGTCAGCACACATATTCTGTAATGGCTTGAAAGAGAAGGCACTGTGAAATGTGAGTGAGCAAAATCAGCCCAGGTACAGCATAGGCCTCAAGGGGGAAGTCAGCGCATTGAAGTGGCATTGTGTAGAAACAGGACGAGTCTAGCAAACTCTGGGCGAGCTACTGGGATGCTTGTATGCAATGTACCCCATCACATCCTGTATTATCTAGGGTGTTGTTGCCAGGTGTTCCCAGTCCCCCACAACCTAAAATAATGGCACGCTGTCTATCTGTACTTGAAAATGAAAGACTGCAGCTGGGTGTTGCAAACATCACCAATGCTTCTGGTCATACAAAAACCCATGCATAAGTAAAGAAAGACCATGCTAAAAAAATTACAGCCTCCTGGTTGGATGTTAACTGGTAGAAAAGTAGTGGAACAGACTTGAAACTTTCAGACATCTGTGCAACACTGAAGCAGGGTGGAAAGTTCTGGAGAGCACTGGAAAAGCATATTTAATATGGGCTTGTCATTCCTGGAGCTGCAGGGCAGTAAGCATGTGTCATTCCAATGTTTGGACGTGCTGCGTCTGCTGTAACATAGCTCCTCTCTTCTGAAGAGCTTGATGAATTATGTTGTAGTTTGCAAAAGTTACTCAGTTGGATGAGTTTCAATCCTGTAAGTCAAACATATTTGCTTTCCTCCCAAAATACACAGTCAAAAGAAGAATAATAAATAGATACTTAAGTGCACAGGAACCAAAATTCTGTGATTCTGAAGTGTAGATTTCATGTGACTGTTTTGCATTAATAATTTGGAGGCTGTGAGACCCACAATCAGAGACAGGACTAGAATTGGGGATCAGGCAACAGTATTGACAAGGCAAAGAGTCCAGAGTGTCCTTTGGCAGGCCTTTCACTTGTTTAAACGCCCTCTTTGAAACCTTGACCCCAAATCCTCCCTCCTTCCTCATGCTGTTTTCTTCCACCCATGAAGAACACATCAACTAGATTTCCCAGGGTACTTATTTTTTGCAAAGGTGGAGCAAGATTGTGCCAGGTAACAACAGGAGCTCCCCGCCAGTAATTGAGAATGTCTTAAAGGATGAGCATTCCCTTCGTTTTTGGCAGGTTAATAGTAGTATCAGACCTGAGTCAAACTGAGGCTTTAAAACCCAGCCATCTGAAAGAAGAGAGCTCAGGAAAAACCTGCCAGGTAGCTGGCATGATAGGACACCTGAATGGGTGCCTGGCTATAAATATTGCTTGTGATGTGCTCAGCAGTTTTGCACAAGCCTCATTTTTAATATCCCTTTACCACGGACATACTGTTCCTTTCAAACACAACCAGGCAAAGGGAGGTGAGGTCAGCAGAGCAGCTGGGTGCTCTGCTCCCAGACATTGCTGCTAGGTCTGCTCTTTGGCAAAGGGGTGGAGGGAGGGAACTGGCTTTTATAAATCAGTGCACACTCCGCAGTTGTCATGTATTCTAAGATCAAAATATTCCCAAATTCAGGTTTGTCTACAGAGCTTTTAAACAGATGGCAGAAGCTGAGCAGATTTGATAATGATTTCACTTACTCTTCAGACTTCAAGGTCCAATGCTATTGTTTGGATAGTGACAGAGATCAGAGCAAATCCTAATGCCAGACTTACCTAGCCTGGGATCTCCCCAGAGTTCAGGCATGTTCATAACAGGATGGGGTTAGTTCAGGCTTACCTGCTTTCTATGAAGTGAGGTTTATAGCCCTGTTCTTTTGCCAGTTCTGGGAAGAAACTGGGCAGAGGGGAGCTGTTCTGACATATACACATTGAAGAAGCAAAGAGTCTGAACAGGAAAATGCTTTGTTTCAAGGATGGGTCACCACAGGCTCATAAAAGAATAAAAGCTAAACTTTTCCAAGCAAGACTAGATATGCCAGAATATCACAGGAGGAGCTGCTGGTGGAATAGTTCCAGCCCAGCTGGAAATATTGGAAATCACAGTAGAAAATCAAGAGTGATTCCAAAAACCTTCTTCCTGATCATACTCCCAGCGGAATTGATTTCATCATTTGCAAAGCCAGGGGATATGGACAGACTGAACAGACACAATTGAGTGTTCAGTGTTGTTATTCAGTACCTGGAACATATTTAGGAGTTGTAGCTATGGGTTAGACCTCCTTTGTGGTGCATGCTGAGAACCACAGAACCCAGGGGTGGTGGTCCTTGGCCCAGAGTTTTTAAACAACAGGAAGCAAATGCAGACCCATCCAGATCTCCTTGACAAGGGATCACCCAGACCTACACTGGCTGATGGACTTGAAAAATCCATCATTTAATTAAAAAATCTGCTTGTTTTGTCAGTGTTGGGAGAAATACATTACATTCATGAGTATGGCTTCCTTGAGGGTACATTCCCACTCACAACTTGTAGCCTAGGAAGGTCTTGAAGTAGGAGCTGTCCTCTTCTCTGTACAGCATTGAGCTCAGCAGGTCCCAGCCCTGTGATTAGGGCTTCTGAATACTGCAGTCACAATAGTAGTTAATAAGGACCTGTGCTCAGATACTATTATGAAGTAAAGGGTTAAAACTGAATTTGAAAATAGAGAGTGTGGGGTGGAGTAGAATAATCTAGATCTTTGTCATCACAACAGGAAAGGATACTTTCCATTTAAAATACCCGAGAAATACAATTCAGCATGTGTCAGGTCTTCAGTAAAGCATTTCTTCCAAGTTTGCTGCGTCTATTACAGGAGGGGACTTTCTGTACCAAACTATTTAAGGCTGGCTATTGTTTTTGGAGGCCACTGTGTTCTTGCTTTGTTTTTTACCCTCTTCTCCCTTCCCTGCTTTATTATGTCACTTTGCTGATCACAGGAGCCGGTGCTGATTTTGTCATGCTTGGAGGAATGTTTGCAGGCCATGACCAGTGTGCTGGAGAGATTATGGAAAAGAATGGCAAGAAGGTGAAACTATTCTATGGAATGAGCTCTGATACAGCCATGAAGAAGCATGCAGGAGGGGTTGCTGAATACAGGTATGAATTCCACACAGGAGCAATTGCAGTGAGGCAACCATCCAGTAACTTCTGGAGCGGAATTGTGCAAAAGGCATCTGTTGGAAACAGGCCCGTGCCTCTATTCCCATTTAGGAAGCTGTTACCAACACTTACGGCAGCAGATCTGAGGGAGGGATGACATCAAGGGGAAGACAGGGAGAAGGAGCTGGGGGTGGCTAGTTGAGAGCAACCGTGTTGACTCGATTGCAGCCAGTGCAGCGTGCTGTCACTGCAGCACTAGCTGCGTGGTCTGGGAAGTTATTAGGCACCGTTCTGACTCACGGGTCTCTTGGGATGTGTATGAATTAAATACTGGAACATGGCATACCAGGCTGCAGTTTCTGGCCTCTGCTTGTCCAGGTTGGGTGTCCTGTCAGTGTATGGGTTCCCGGCTGGCCCACATGCTCCCCTTCTGTTTGCAAAAAGTGGGTGCCTGGTGAATCGGTGAAGTTCAGCTGGGATTTCCCCAGTATAGAGTTGAGTTACAGCTGTACACTAATGAGGGCCCAGGACCTCCAAAGCACTCTCAGTCACAGGCAGTAGCCCCACGACTCCCTCCTGCATTTGTTGGGCAGTCTTCTTAGGCAGCAGAACCCTGCTGTAGAGATTTCCCAGCCCTTTTTGGGTAACAGAGCACGAGAGTAACCCCAAATCACGCAGCATGCGGGAGCTTGGGTTTTGAGCTAAAATCCTCAGGGGAGAGGAAAGGAAGACAGGCTTTGTAAAGCAATCTCTTGTCCATTGCTATTTTACTCTGGAAAGTGCTGAGAATTTTGACTTTTTGAAAAAGCAGGTGACTCCAGAAAACCTCTGTGTTTTTTCTCTTATGAGTGGCAGGTATAGTCACGGCCCTTAGACAACATGGTTCTTGCATACTTCGTTAGAGAACGTTTCCTGTCTTACAGCGTACACTGTTTATTGAGGGGTCCCTTTTGATTCTTCTCCTCTGCTGGCGTAGCTTCAGGCTCTGGTCCCATCTGGTAAACTGTTGTTTGTAAGAGTCTCAGAGCCAGTGACCTTACCTACTGTTCTAGACATTCAGGATTGATGGGTTTTGTTGGCCTCGTTTGCTACAACTACTCCAGCATGTGGGTTTTTCCCAACGTGTCCAGCTGCTACCACCTGTAAGAGTTGCAGCACTTTGAAGGTGACAGTGCAGCGTGTAAATGGGATCCACAAAACAAAACGGAATTCACACTTTGACACAGAGACATGCTGCTAGGACCATGACAATCCCAGACATCACACTAGATAGAAACCAGATTTGATCCCACCTCCTGGCCTCCACCGCGACGTTGGCTCTTGTGGTGGTTTTTGTCTGCCACTTCTGAAGAGTTAAAACGCACCATAAAAATGTGGACTAGTTCACCTAGCACTTTACAAAGTGGTAAGACACAGCCTACTTCAGAGCATTTACACATGTCTCCTTTGGCCTAAATCATAGAATCATAGAATACTTCGGGTTGGAAGGGACTTTAAAGGTCATCTAGTCCAACCCCCCTGCCATGAGCAGGGACATCTTGAACGAGACCATGTTGCTCAGAGCCCCGTCCAACCTGACCTCGAATGTTTCCAGGGATGGGGCATCTACCACCTCTCTGGGCAACCTGTGGAGTGTTTCATCACCCTCACTGTAAAAAATTTCTTCCTTATATCTAGTCTAAATCTACCCGCTTTTAGTTTAAAACCATTCCTCCTTGTCCTGTCGCAACAGGCCCAGCTAAAAAGTTTGTCTCCATCTTTCTTATAAGCCCCCTTAAAGTATTGAAAGGCCACAATAAGGTCTCCCCAGAGCCTTCTCTTCTCCAGGCTGAACAACCCCAACTCTCTCAGCCTTTCTTCACAGGAGAGGCGTTCCATCCCCCTGATCATTTTTGTGGCCCTCCTCTGGACCCGCTCCAACAGGTCCATGTCCTTCCTGTGCTGAGGGCTCCAGAGCTGGATGCAGGACTCCGGGTGGGGTCTCACCGGAGTAGAATAGAGGGGCAGAATCACCTCCCTTGACCTGTTGGCCACGCTTCTTTTCATGCAGCCCAGGATACGATTGGCCTTCTGGGCTGCGAGCGCACATTGTTGGCTCATGTCCAGCTTTTCATCCACCAGTACCCACAAGTCCTTCTTGGCAGAGCTGCTCTCAATCCCTTCATCCCCCAGCTTGTATTGATACCAGGGGTTGCCCTGACCCAGGTGCAGAACCTTGCACTTGGCCTTTTTGAACCTCATGAGGTTCACACGGGCCCACTTCTCAAGCTTCTCCAGGTCCCTCTGAATGGCATCTCGTCCCTCAGGCGTGTCGACCGCACCACTCAGGTTGGTGTTTTCTGGAGACTTGCTGAGGGTGCACTCAATTCCACTGTCCATGTCATTGATGAACATACTAAATTATTATGAGCTCCTAGACTGCAATAATAATGGAGACTAAGGAAGGCTAGTGGTAGACATTGTGCAGGAGAGACCTGGAAACAAATGAAGTCATTAGCTTTCCTGGTCTGGCAGAAAACCCAGGCTCATTAAAAGAGAAGCCTATGTGAAAATGGGGAAACAGGGAGCTTGTGGATGCTGCACTTAATCTGATAGTCTGTGCCTACTAGACACAGTCTGGTTCAGTACTACTTTCTGAGGAAGGCTTCTGAAGAGAAGAAAATCAGTTGGACATAGGATTGAGAGATGATAGTAAAGAATTTTTCAAGGGCAAAAAAGTTTGTGATGAGTTTTGGCAAGTTCCAAGGGCATTTGTTTTTGCAGGGAAAAAAGAAGATATTTCTTAGCAAGCAAAAATACACAGTGAATACTGTAGTTTGAGGAGAACATGTATATCCTGGCAGATTTTTAAAGCTGGAATTTTTCTGCATCTGAGAGGATGAGAAGGGGACAGGGATATCTTCACCTTCTGCCTGAGGAGGACGTACAGATTTTTCGAGTGGAATGTACCCTTCCTACTTTACCTGAGCCCATGTGCAAGGGATTTTTTTTTTAATCTCATATGGGGCTGCATCTGTACCAGTTAAAAGCACCGCTATCTGCAGGATATCTGGCTACGCTGAGGACAGCCAGTGTATTGCTTAGGGGAGCAACCTACGTGACTGGCTTCCCACCTGGTTGACCTGCAAGGCTTTTTTGGCACTGCAGGTTGAGTGTGCTTTTGCTGTCAAGCACAACTGTTTATTTGCAGAAGAAAGAGCTGCACAAGAGTCCATCTGTGTCTGAGACAAGCTGAAATGATGCACCAGAAAGATGTGCTGCATACCTCTGAGCTGTGATTCACGCTGGGTTCATATGCCAGTTCCCAGAAGCAGTGTACAGTTTGGGGGCTTTTTTTGTCCCCCAGCGAATCTGCTTGTCATCAAAGCCTCTGAACAAATGATCTGAGTGGACAGCACTAGTAATTATCTCGTAGTTTAAAAGTGGCAGCTGCCAGTTACACAGAGGTACTGGCAACCTTTTATCTGAACTATGATAACTTACTGTCCTTTGCTACCCTGTGCTTGTGTCAGCCGGAGTGTGCGAAAGGGCTGATCCTGGTCAGGCATGTGGTTAATGGCAGCTCCTCAGAGATCACAGAGCAGCCCAAGCGTGCTGCGTGGATCTCAGTGCAGCATAGTCATTTAGGGCCTGGCCATCACAGAGCTGGTGAAAGTTGCAGGAAAAGTTTGAGAAAGCTTTCTGTACCAGTGGGCCAAAGGACTAAGGCAGCTGTTAAAGCACCTAGTTAGGTGTGCGTGTGATCTGGCAACAAAATTTATCGCCAGCAGAATTAATTGACACTGGTCCCCCTTACAAATGAGATAAAATGCAAGTATTATGTCTTGTAGGAGTAAAGGATGTACAGAAAGGCACTGTATTTGGCTCAGTCTAGATACACCCTTTCAATTCCTTGTGGGCAATACTACACAAATTCTGCTTGATCCATAGCGGTATTTTGATTTGCATCCTGATTTTAGAGTCCCCTGGGGATCAAGTTCTGAAACCTTCTCAGCTACAAGCGAGCAGAAGCACAATCTGAAATGTTTAGTCCCTGTTGAGATACTGCTTTTTTATGCCACTAATAGGTAACATAGAAGGAGTCCCCAGTCTACTGCCAGCTACAACAGCTCCAAACGTTAAATCTGTAAGCCTTAGCTGTTAACTGTGAAGGAGCCGATTCTCATCTTGTTTATGTTGCAGCCACGACTCAGAGCTGGCTATCCCTACCAACCTTGGTCTTGGTCTTGCTTGGCCTTTCCCAGCATGATGAGTGTCACTGTGGTTTAAAAATAGCAACTGTTTAGTTATTCAGCATTGTGAATGTGCTGGGCATTGAAGGGATGATAGGAAACAGGGCAAGACTTTGCTTTGAATTACCCTTGTAGGAAAAGTTACAGGAAGTTTAGTCACTTACTAGTTTAGCTTATGGCAAACTTGAACCAAAAGGGTTCTAAATCAGCATTTTAAATGCTATATACCCCAAATGGATCAAGTCAGTGAAGCTTTTTTATATGCATTTAAAAAGCCCAGCTCTAAGTCTGTATCCCCAATAAGCTGTTTTGTCTTTAAAAGAGCCTGAGCACTTACGATGTTTTATTTAAGCAGTGGGGAGCTCAGTGTGCTCAGCCCCCTGCTGAATCAGACTACTTGTCACTTAACTTCGTCTTCTCAAAATTACACATTTTGGCTGGAGAACCTGAGCCTCCAGCAAACAGTTAAATTAAAATTGACATGTAAGGTGAGATGGCTGTAGCAGGGAATAAAGTCATGAGAGTAATTGTTTTTGTAATGAATATGTCAAGTGGATCCCATTTAATTTTGTATGAAATCTGTGTACCCGGTTTCATCACTTTTATGTCATTTATATATTGGTTTATTTTTACATTTTTACCTCCTTCCACAAAGAACATGCATCAGAGCTGGGAATTTCTGAAAGGCAATTATTAAGTTTCTTTTATGGGAGAAAGGAAGGCAAGCAGAAACAGAGACTGCAGTATTGTTCAGTTAGAGCCACT